TGACTGCTGGCCCACTAAAATCCCCGAGCTGTAATCACAAACAACATCCATCCGACTCACACAAGGAGTCCAATCTAAGGTAGAAGGCCTTTTTACCCTTTCTCTAAATCATCCCAAGGCCAAAGCCCAATCCAAATGTCAAAAAAGCCCAAATTCCAAAATAATCATCCAAGGCCTAAATATGGCCCATTTTTCCTGGTTGGGCCCAAACCCCTTGATGGGCCTTCAAGCAAAGGTCAAATAAAATATCCTTAGCCCAAAATAATATTCATATGGCCTAATAAACCCCTAATCATCTAGAGTCCAAACATAGCACAACACTATGACCCCAACATTTCAAAGCCCCTCTGCTAAGTACGTGGGGCGTACTCAAGTTGTACGCTAAGCGTACACACTTTGGGGCTTGTACGTGCGACGTACCAGCTTCTACACCCAACCTACTCCTAGCTTGGCCAACTTTCTTCATTCAAAACTTATTCGATTAAAACTTCGATCGAAATCTTAGATCTAACTTCCCTAAGGTGGTTTATCACGTAAAGTTGTCAATTTTACGTGCATGCATGGCTTAATTTTTCTCTAGAGCTCAAAAGATCTTAATAAATGACTTAACACGTGCATGAGACTAAAACCACCATAAAGTGTGCACCTTTATGCTTAAGAAACCCTTAATATGTCCAGATCTACAAGAATAAGCTCCACAATGACCTTGGCTCACAAGCACCAACCAAAAGGGACCAAAATAGACAAAAACAAGCCAAGGAGTAGATCTATAAAACTAGTTTACAAGCTATAAGTTTTATACCTTACAAGCCACAAAATGGAGATGCAAAAGTTGGATCTCTAAGCTCCTCTCTAAAGGATGAGTCTTTAATTTTCTCCTTCCCGTTCAAGATGCACAAAATACAGCACAAGTGCTTCACAAGAGTTCAAAGGCACCACACAAGGTTAAGGGACGAATTTAGGCTTTCGAGATGTGGAGGCTAATCAAAAGATGACCAAATGAGGCTGTTATATACGTTATATTGGGTACAAGCCCTAAAATTAGGGTTTCACTTAATCACACGTATGACATGTGTACACAAGCATACGTCCCGCGCACGTGGTCCGAAGGCATGATTGAAATCGGGCTTGTATGCTAAGCGTACCATCCTATACACCCCACTTACTAGCTTAAGGACTACAATAGAAACGTTTTACATAATTAGGGTTAATTAAGAACATACCATATCAAGTGTTACAAGACTCGTTAAAACCTCAACTTGAGACCAATGTTAAACAAGCTCGAGTCAAGATCGAGCTTAATTTTAGGCTTGTTTATTAAAGAAGCACAAGCTCGAGCCTGTATCACTAAGACTATGTTACTAAGCCTGATTCAATGAACCTATATATAAATATATATATATATATATATATATATATATATATATATATATATATATATATAGTTTAATAATATTTTAATATGTTAAATAAAAACATATTTAAGGAATTAAGGATTTAGGGTATTAGTAAACAAACTTCTTAACGACCACGAACAAAGCTTTAACTTATTTAGGTTCATTCGACAAAAAACGATCCTAGCTCTCGCCCCTTACAACTTAAATGAGCTTGAGTTGAGAATGGTCAAGCTTGGGCTCAACTCTGCTTGTTTGCACCCCTAACCCTAATCAGTCCAACTATAATTTCTTGAAATGCCCGTAAATTTGCATGACCCAAAAACCATATAGATAACATTATCGGACACCTTTAAAGGGAGGGTTTTATTTCATTAAAAAACAGTTGTTGCTAGCCTTCCAAATACATCAAAGAAAACCATAGATAATGATTGCCCTCATAAAAAGTTGGTACTAAACTTCATATTCTACTATCTAATGTGGAGTGTATGAACGATAATAAACAATAATGTGTTCAAACATAAGGATTTCACACTAAGATTGCTAACAATGTTAGTCCCCTTTTATACATTTGGTGCAAACATAGATGTAAATCTTGATTGTGGTCGTTTGGGTAGATTGATGTTGTTCGCTATTTAAACACCCCATCATGTAATGAATCGAACATTGTCTTATTTTTCCCAGGTTTTAGTTTTTTACTAATCGTGTAGTGTATATATATATATATATATATATATATATATATATATATATATATATATATATATATATATATAAAGAACACATTTTGTGTTATTGATTATCATTTTAAATCATTTTCCTTTTTTGTAGAAATGACAAATAATTAATATATATATATATATATATATATATATATATATTAATTATTTGTCATTTCTAAAAAAAGGAAAATGACTTAAATTTGCAATCGGTAACACAAAATGTGTTCTTTGGGTAATTAAACTTTTAATGACTTGAAAGGGTAACGAACTTTTGACTTTTGTCACATTTAGTTACTAAATTTTTTTTCGTTATCTATTTGCCATTGAACTATTGAAACTGTTCACATTTTACCCTTATGACCGGCTGTTACCGGTCATAAGGGTAAAATGTGAACAGTATCAATAATTTAGTGGCAAATAGATAATGAAAAAAGTTTAGTGACTAAATGTGAACAAAATCGAAAGTTCATTTCCCTCTAAAAAGTTCAATGACTAAATGTGAACAAACTTCCTATTGTATTATGTTTTAGCAAAATTATTTATTTTTGTTTAATTGTAGCAACATTTGTTGATGAAGAAATCTATGAAATAAAAAAATAAAATGTAACATCCGGATTTCCAGGTATCATCACTTAAGTATTTTTCTTTTGAGTTAAGAAGAGAGACTCGACGAGTTGACGCCTCAACTCGTCGAGTAAGGCCGCGACTGATGACTCGAATTAATGAATGGACTCGACGAGTCGGTGAGGCGACTCGACGAGTTCGCGCTATTGGCAGAAACCCTAAATCTTTAGGCTCGAGCCAAATTTAAAGGCATTTATGGCCTTCAATTGTGACTACCTTTCCCATAAGTGAGAACCCTAGCGAGCTTGAGTGTGTAGAGTGAGAGGAAGAGCTATCTTGAGCTTTTTGGTGTGATAGATGTGGACCCTTCTAGGTTCAGAGAGCCGAGAATATGAAGCTTTAGTAGAGTAAACCTTGGGGTTCAAAGTTAGGAATCATTTATGGTATATATAATTACTTTCATCTTACACATAGATATGAAGTATTTTATATCAATTATGTGCTATGTGTGTATATTATTTGAATACTTGCTGTCTATACTGGATGAACGATTTTATACATGTTTTAAAAGATTTAAATGGTATATTTATTTTATATCTACAAATATGTTGCGGATGAAACATGGGTAGATGAAATAGTTGGTGTGTGATGAAATAAAATGATAAGAGATAGGTGATGATAGAAAGGTGGTGATAATTAGGTAAATAGATGATGATGAATATGTGATGTAGGATGAAAGGAGATACTATAACCTTTACCAACAATGTGGCGATGTAGTCATCTACCAGAGTATAGATGGCGACCACGGACTATTCTAGATAACCCAGTGGAAACACCAGCAGACTAATAACCTGTAGGTGATGAATTACGAGTTCATGTGATGTTGTAACTATGTATTCATGTGGTGATACTCTAACCCCTTACTATGAATTACGATTTCAGACGATGTTGTAACTACATATTCATGGGATGTCACAAATTTCGCATGCCAAACCAATGGTCATAATTCACATCAGTGAGAATGGTTCATTTTTTTTTGTAAAACCAAAATCAGATTGGAAATTTTGATTTTTTATTTCGGAAAATGTCAAACCATTGGTTTTTTATTTCGGTTCTGGTTTTTTGTTTTTTTTTTTAAATATATTTTCAGGGTTTTGTTTTGTTTTTTTTTTTTATTTCATAGTTTTCTTCATCAACTAATTTTGCTACAATTTAACAAAAATAAATAATTTGCTAAAACATAATACAAGAGAAGGTTTGTTCACATTTAGTCATTGAACTTTTTAGAGGGAAACGAACTTTCGATTTTGTTCATATTTAGTCACTAAACTTTTTTTCGTTATCTGTTTGCCATTGAACTATTGAAACTGTTCACATTTTACCCTTATGACCGGCAACTGCCGGTCATAAGGGTAAAATGTGAACAATTTCAATAGTTCAATGACAAACAGATAACGAAAAAAAGTTTAGTGACTAAATGTGATAAAAATCGAAAGTTTGTTACCCTTTCAAGTCATTATCCCTATGATTTTTATCAGTTAAAAAGGACAATGGACACCACCATTTCCCTTGTCATATCTAAACTAAAAGTCTATTCTCATCATTTATCTCAAACCACAACCAATGAACATTATTAGCGCCTGAATGTTGGGTGAGTTTTTCATTTAATAACTGAAAATCTAAGTAGTTGAAGTTGTGATTTCCATATGCTTTTAGTTAAATGTGACAAAGAGAATGACATTGTTTCCTTGTCAATTTAACCCATAAAAATCATAATTGTTAATATTTTAAAACCAAAATAAAAAATGGGTTTGCTTATTGGATGCAATTAAAAGTTTAATGACTTAAAAAGATAGATAGAGAAAGTATTAAATAGCAAGAGGTCTTTTGACGTCAAATAAATAATTATATATCTTCGTTAAATTTATATTAGATAATAGATATATCTTTTAAAAACGTTGTGTTAGAGATTAAAGAATAACAGACACAACGAGTGAATTCGTAGGGCGAAGTGATACCCAACACAATATATCTAGTTCCAACATCATAAACGCATACACTAGCAATGACAAATACCAAACAACCGCTCCACTAGCACTTGACCTCTATTCAAATATCACACTACAACTTGTTACCGCTTTTCCTCTTATACATAGTTTTAAGCTGACAATAAAACTATAAATGACGTCATATATATCCTATCTACTTGTATACTTGTCTCAGGTTTTCTCATATAAAAACTCTATTTTATATAGATTCACAGAACAATCTCTCTTCTATTGTTTCTTTCAGTCAACGCAACCCTGCGCCAGCTCCACACATGGAAGGAGACGGCGGATGTTCACCCACGTCCAGCGGCGAAAAGAGAAAAAACAGAGACGTCGACAAACCCTACAGAGGGATAAGGATGAGGAAGTGGGGCAAGTGGGTGGCTGAGATTCGTGAACCCAACAAACGTTCACGTATTTGGCTTGGCTCATACTCCTCTCCCGTCGCTGCTGCCCGTGCGTATGACACCGCCGTCTTTTACCTCCGCGGCCCTTCCGCCAGTCTTAACTTTCCGGATTCCATAGGAGACGAGGGATTCCTCCATGACCTATCCGCTGACTCGATCCGAAAAAAAGCTACTGAGGTAGGAGCTAAAGTCGACGCCATCCAAAGCCAAAACCGCGGCCCAGAGCTCCACCACTTGCCGCCAAAATCATACTCCGGTCGTGTTTGCTTAAATCCAGACCTAAACGAGTACCCAAGTCCAGAATCTTCAGACGAATGTTAGGAGTGAGAAAAAATCAATAATATTTGTTGATATTGATGGAAAGTGTCGATTTTAATTTCTTGATTTTGGTTTTTAAAGAAAGGTTAAAGATATGAGATTCATATCTATATAGAGAAGGAGGGAGGAACCCATAACTCGAAAGGGTTAGGCATGCTGATGGTCCCAAGGTTTCTTATTTACGATCTTTATGGTTTTCTTAGTTAATTTATTGATTAATACATGTAAAATCAATCTACGGTTGTGGTTATTCTTGTAGTTTCTTCATGGCTTATCTCTTATTTATTTCACGCATACTTTTTAATTTTCAGTTATTATACTGCCCAATCATACATTTAAGTGGTGTTTCTTGATAGAATGTATAAAAAGTTAGTAATAGCATAAGTGCGTAACGACCATATTTAAAAGTTAATGCTAAAGAAAATAATCAAAAGGAAGTTTTAAATAATAATAATAATAATAATAACAATAATAATAATAATAAAGAGGCCCCCGCTACGCCGCTTTTGGGGTAATATGGAAAAATCGGCAAACTTTAAAAGATATGTGCTGAAATTGTAAGTCACCACAAATAGGGGAGAAAGTCGACAACCCCTAAAATTAGATTTCAAAAATGTACAACCAAAGAATGGACACTGCAGGCGAAAATTCAAAAATATTGTAGCAATAATGTTAAAGTTGCCAAAGTTAGGAAATTATGGTGACAAAATTCAAAATGAGGTTTTTTTTTAATGTGGAATTGTAAAAGTTTTTAGTAAAAGGACAAAAAGTGTCAAATTCATAAAAGATTTGTGGCAAAAACATCAAAAATGGAAAACTTTTTACTGTAAGGACTAAAAGTGTCAAACTCACTAAAATTTTGTGGCAAAAACCAAAAAGCAGAAAAATTTAATTAAAATGCAAAAATATAAAAGTTTTGAATTTAAGGACGAAAACTGTTAAATGCACCAAAGATTTGTAATATAAACCTAAAGGCCAAAAATATACTATCAAAATCTAGATATTGACACAAAATACCCAAATATAGTTGAGGGACCATTTTTACCAAAAAAATCCACCAGTTTACTATTGGTAAGAATCATATATATATATATATATATATATATATATATATATATATATATATATATATATATATATATATATATATATAACAACAACATCAACAAATAATAATAATAATAATAATAATAATAATAATGTAAGGTCACACTTTATAATCTGACGAGTTAAACACTTCACGTAGATCATCAATGCCAAAACTAGCCCAACTCTACCTAGGTCTGCATGATCTTCATGATTTAAATTATCCATGTATATTAGTCAGATATACGTTGTACATATAGAATATATTTTGATCCGTAATCTTAGTGATTAGGATCAGATCTTTACTTAGATATATATACATCCCTAAAATAGTGGGATATTAATTATTGTAATCGTATATAATCGACCTTAGGATGAAACCCTAAGGTAAGTCTTGATGACCGTGTTTGTGAAGCTCAACATTGTTCTCTTTGTAAGAACCGTTCATTCTTAGTGAAAGCATCTTTGTGATTATACATGTTCTTCACTTTTCTATTTAATCTTTGTTTTGTTTAATCATTCTTGTTATTAATACTTGATTGCATTCGATCGTTTCAAACCTTCAATTGGTATCAAAGGAGGTTTACAATACACTCTATTTATCATGTCGTCTTCTTTTTTTCTCACCCCAAGTCGTCTACCTTAAAAAAAGACCCTTCCTTTTGATAAACATAATGTGGAAATTAAATTCTATGGTTGCTCTTGAAACCATGGACTTTGATATGCTTAATATTGTAGAAAAAGGCTCGCATATTCCAATGTTGTTAACAGTGCCCCCGTTGGTCCCTTGAAACAAAAGCCAACGACTAGCTATGACGAGGAGGACAAAAGACTTATTAGTCTTGATCTCAAAGCAATGGTAGATATAGGAAATGCTCTTCCCTATCAAGTATATCATCCAGTTCAGAACTATGAATCTACTCAAGAGATGATGGAAACGTTGATTGTGGCTTATGAGGGTACTGTTGAAGTTCAAGCTACTACCATCAACAATCTTAACCGGAGATATGAGTATTTGTTTGCTTAGTAAGGTGAGACACTAACTCAAACCTTTAACATATTTAATTGTTTAGTGAATGATATGCGCAAGTTGAGAGTTGTCAAGCACTCTTCTCAGTTGGTTTTAGATTTCCTAGACTCTCTTGGGAAAAGTTGGGAACATGATGTTGATGTTCTTAAAAATAATGAAAAGATAAACCTCATGGATCTCAATTCTTTGTTTGTGAATCTGAGAAATTACGAAGAAACTAAATCTCTTCATAACGACATTATGACAGACTCCAACAAGGAAAAGTTGGTGGCCTTGGTTTCAAGAGAAAAAGAAACAAATCTCGTCGGTGACTTTGATGATTATGATCAAGGTGAATTCATTGATGAACCGGTTGCTAGTGTTTCACTTATAGTTAAATGATGTGAAGAAAGCAAGTCCAATGGAGTCAGAAGAGTTTGATCCATGGGTGGTAGTTCACTGAGAAAGAACAACTTATAGAAAAGAAAATAGTTACTTGAACTTCTTTTAACTGTGGGAGTCTTGACCATTTTGCCAAGGATTGTAACGAGTAGAAAGAGTCTCAAAGCCTCAAGATTTATGAAGTCTTGTACAAGTAGCTGATAGCTCACATGAAGAAGGAAACCATCTCTTTGTCAATCTTTTATTACAAAGAATGAGGAATCGGAAAATGTGTTAAAGATGAGGACACATTGAAGATGAAGGGGTGAACGTTAAAGGACATATGGCTCTTGTCAATGATGTCCCAATTAGTCGCTACAGCAAGTGTGACGCTGATACCTTTCGAGCCATCAAATAATTAAAGACGAAAGCTTGAATGTCTCCTCTACTCTTCAGGATCTTAAGCATACTTAGTTTTCCAGATAACAGTTGTTCTAAACATGTGACTGGTCTCAAGTTCCTCTTAACAAATTTTGCGGAGAAAGATGGTCACATCTTTACTTTTGGAGATAGCAATGAAATTGCAGTTAAGGGCATGAGAACAGTTAAATGCAGATCTATCACGTTGAAGGATGTGTTCTACATCAAGGACCTTCAAAACAATGTCATCTCCATCATTCAACTATGTGACATTAGTTACAAAGTTACTTTTGACTGTAATGAAAGAAATATCATCGACACAAAGAACACAGTTGTGCTCACTGCATTCATGGACAAAAACATTTACATGATTTAATTATTTTTTTGTTGGACAATGTTTCTTTATGAATTTACACTACTCGTTTGCTACTTAAATTTCTCAACATACGCTGCTACACTATTTTTTGCTACTTAAATTCTGAACATACGCTACTAAAATTTTGTTTTAATATAAGACCTTTTCTGTGTGTGATTCAAAAATTATTTCTATTTCTTTTTACCAAATAAGTATACATTGTATGTTATACTACTAACATTTCCTATGTATGTTCTTCTCTCCCGATGATGACCTTGCTTATTTATTCCTTTGGAAAGTGTTGATATTAAATCTAAAGTGATCGAATAGATTCAGATAAGTAAAAGAATGATGAACACACAGAAAGAATATCAAAGATTTCAAATGATTAAATATAACATCCTCAGAAGAGCTCAATTAAGAACTACTACTGTAAAGATGTGTAGGGTTTACAATACGATTAAATGATTAGAAGATACAGTGCATGCATTCACCTTAAATAGCTAAACCCTAATAATAAATCACAGGTGGACAGGCCCAACCTGATTATAAAATAGACTATACTAAAGCCCATAATGACGCAACATTAAATACCCAACAATCCCCCCCCTTTGCGTCAATTGGGATGGAGACCTTCAATGTTGTGTTTTCTTATGAGTCTTGAAAAGCTTGGGCATGATGCTAAGAAGTGTGCTGTGAAAGGAAATGTACCAGTGAATCATGTATGAAAAATTCTTCTTTGCAGTAGCATCATTTGCCTTACACTGACTAGTAATTTCCAAAACACAGTTCATGCAGGTTGTCGAAAATAAATGTTTGTGTGGCAATGCGAACAGACACTTCTGGAAATCAGCACATTCTTTGGACCCCCGTTGAAACATCACAGTCCAGTTATATTTCTCTAACTTCCCCATCTTCATCTTGTAAATTTCACTCGTCAAACCTTAAGGAAGGACTTTTGGTTTTCTTTTCAAAATAGAAGTTATTTCAATATCCGGCTTCGCAACTTCAAAAATATAGGACACTAGCATCCTCTTGATGTGATCTACAATCGGATCATATTTCTTCTCTTCCTTCATCAGGAGATGCATCAAAGTAATCCAGTCATAAGGATTTAACCTTCATAGCGGTTATGAAGCTCTCAGTCAAATTTAGCCCTATAACCTTCATAGCGGTTATCTTCAGTGCACTCCATGTGAGACTTTCCATGCTTGAGATAGAACTCCATCAAAGATTTGTCAACATTCACATCTGATGGAAGAGTGTTCACAATGACCTCCAACCTCCAAAACAGAAAGGCCTTCGGTGTGAGAGGCATGTCTAGTTGTGAATCCAGCGTATTCTCCAGTTCAAATGAAGTAACTAGATCCAGCCAGTAAATGTTGGGATTATCAACTACTTCATTTAGAATTCAGTATAAAGTCCACAATGGAAACAAAATTTTTCTGCTTTCCAATTTGACTTGAGCTTCGTGTTCATCTCTAGCCTTTTCTTCCGTTTCTCTAGCAATTCGGTTGTTTTCATAAATTTTGGCTTCACAAGCCTTTCTTTGTTTTAAGTCATGCTCGTCAGGTTCTTCTTCATCAGTATCATAGATAAGTTTCCCTTTGCCTTTTGAATCTGAAGCTTCATTACCCTTCGGTTCATTCATTCTGTTTGGATTTTTGGTTTCACCAATAGTTCCTACATTTTATTGGGGTTCTTTTGCAAACTGATCTTTTGTATGTTCTTCCCCTTGTTTCGGAAGTGCACTAAGCTCCGCAACACCTTCAAGGCGATTTAGCATTGGGAATGCAGGTATGAGTTTTTCTACCAAATGCTTCTTAACAGTGATAGGGATCAATGGATCACGAGCCTAAACGATATTAGACAGCAAGGAGTTCACATCTACGACACAACTCCTCATAACCACCTTCTTGGACTGGAGTTCATTGATATTCTTCTCAGCAATCTCAAGCTTAACATTTATGACTTCCACCTTTTTAGTCTTCAGTACGAGCTGATCTATAATTTTATTCTACATTGCTAAGTCTTCGTGAAGCTTGGTTTTCTTGGTGGAAATGGAGGAGTTAAGCTCAACATTGTCAGATTGGAGATCAGTGCAAAATTCTTTGAGGTTTGCCTTCTTAGTGCGAAGTGTTAATCCAACATTGGAGATAATTGTGTTCTCCTTGGATGTGTTTGACTCGAACAGTTTGCATGAAGGAACAAGCATATGTAATTAGTTTATCGACTTTTTTGGTTGTTTCCTTGCAGACAATAGTTAAATCACCCACAACTTTGTTTGCTTACGCTAGATTAGCAGAGTGATCCTTCGTCATCGTATGGAAGAAGGCCTTGACAGCCACTTGTGAGTAAGCACTTGAAGCTTTAGCTGATTCAAGTAAGGAATCCAGCTTCGTATTGATAACTTTAAGTTGCCCTTCAGTTATAGAAACTTCATCATCACTGTCAGCTTGAACAGTGAAGGGACTGTAATGAAAGACTCGAATTATTCATCATCACCTCCAAAAATAGTATCAGAATCACCTTGGCGGAGAGCATAAATTGGTGGTGTAGAATGACCAACTGAGAAACCTGAAGCACCTGCCCCCGCATCAAATGCGTTAATAGACACTGGAGGTTCATCAGTGGTAGTTGTTGTTATGACGGTTGAATCTATAAACAAAGGGGTTTATTGGGAAAGATTTGATTATGTTTGCAAAAGCCCCATTGATACAAGTGGGCAAGGGGCAATGGTGATTGGGGTAGAAATAGTAGATGTAGGTGAAGTGACAGAAAAATCTTGGAATAAATCATCGGTGATTGGAACAGAGGCAGGGATTTCAAAAGTTACATCAGGGTTCGTAGAGATTTGCTATGAGACTTGTGGTTGTGAAGATGCAACAATATCCACGTGTTTGGTGTACGTAGCCCCTTGCACTGGAACCTCCAAAAACGTGTTTGATTGCAAATCTTCTCGGTTACTTGGAGTCGGAGTTCGTGGCCTGTGAGCCGCTTTCATGACCTTTTTCTTTTTCGGCGTTTGAGCATGGTCAGATGGACGAGCTTTTGCAACCCTTTTTTGGTTTATCAACCTCATCAAGGATCTTTTGAATGTCATCAGTCATGGGGCGAAACCTAGAGACTGATAGACTTCTGTTGGTTCGCAGCACATCGCTTGCAGTTGGAACATCACAAAGCATCGCTTCAGAAATTGAACCAATGAATAAAAACATGGAATTATCAGCTAGAATGATGTTGATGGTGTCAAAGATCTAAATTGCAGCCATACAAGAACCTTCCAAGACTGGGATGTTGAGGTTGTTGATTGCCCGTTGAACGGAGACGATCCAGAAACGAGCACATGAGATTTCATTATGTCGTGTGGTAAAGAGAGTGCTTTGGACAAATTTAGCCCGGAGAACTGAGCCGTAATCCATATTGATGTCGTACATCATCTGTAATATCCATAAAAATCAAGCAAAATTAAAACTTTTTCAAACATCCAAAAGCCATTAGTTATTACAAAAAAGTTTGCCAAATAGTTTAATATCAAATTATCCCAGAAACCATAAGTCCAAAACACAAGGATGTGTACGGTCACACCTTTGTCTTCCCGCGGTCATCCGTTGAACCTGAAACAATAAACTATAACTGTAAGCTCAAAGGCTTAATGAGATATCTCTAAAATACCCATATACAGAACGATACACATATAATAACAAACAGCATACTATGGGTCCAATCATCCATCGGGATGGAATACCCCAAGTCCTCAACCATTGGGTTGGAATGCCAACATACCGATATACTTCACATAACACATATACAACTAACAACATGTATTGGGTCCACAAATTTAAAGACTGGATTACCCATTAGCCCACAGTGTGAGTTTGGATTGCCTTCCGGTCCCATAGCTCACATCTGGATTACCATCAAGCCCACAGTACGATTCTCCCTCAAGTCGTATATGGAATGCTCCCGGGTTTGTTGGTTACCACACAGAGCAGTACCGCCTCAACCCATACAATATAACATGTCGACATATAACACAACTAATGCACATACATATAATCACATAATACTACAGGTACTCCTACAGATCTACCTACAACTAGCATGCAGACAGTCAGACCAACTATAGGTCACTAAGACTAACCACATCCGATCTAATAGATCATACTAGCATATAACCATCATATCTACCAGGATACCTAACTAACATATCACAACAGTAATAATCCCAATAAAAAAACAATGGGTCAGCCTTGGTGCCTTAGACCCTTGAGTACAATGAGGATAACTCACCTAGCACTGCTGAAGTCTCGCACATAAAACTCCAGCTGCTGGTTGACAGATTTCCGAACTGTCAACATCAAACAACACCCAATTAATAATTTGGTCCAAGCCAAAGGGCCAAGGGCCAACTCACACTCCAAGGGAGAAAATTCAAGTAAGGGGCCAAAGTCCAATTTTTGGCCCAATATCACTTAATCATAAATGCCTAATTATGGCCCAATTTTCCAAATTGGGCACAATACTCTCACATGGGCCTTATCATAAAACTCATACAATTATTATGTCCATTTACTTATTCTTGGAAAGTCCATTAATAGTCAAATCACCAAGGCCCAATTCAAGGCCCGACTGAGATTAGAGTTTTCACATGAAATGATGATTAGGGTTAAGTGTTCCTACTTACCCCATTAATGACATAATCCATAAAGGACTTAATCCATTAAGTCTAATATTGCCTTAAGTTAATTTTCACATGATTATTAATTAATATCTTAAGTTTATTAAATAATTCTCGTGCGGTCCCAATAAATCCCAAAAATTAGGATCTTATACCATTAGGGTTTTCCAACCCACTAATAGCCTATTAGTTAATTGGTTGGTCTTTTAGGTCACTTTTAGCCTCGTTGGGCCCATTAAGGCATTAGGGTTTCATTGGGCCCACTATGGTTTTGTCAGGCCCATTCTGTCCAAGCATCCCAACCGAGTTAAAACACAACAAGGCACACCGCCACCCAACACGGCGGTTGGTGGCGCCAGGAGGCAACAGCCACCACCTCACGATGGTGGTTTGGAGTTTCTTTTTCATTAATCTAACATGGTTACAATTTTTACAATGAAACACCTAATTAACACACACACACACACACTCACACTAAATAATTACACACACAACCACCCTTGTGGTAGTCGGTGGTGGTATATGGTGGTAGCCACCATGGCTAGCGGCCATGGTAGTTATCTTCTTTGTTTTCCTGCCACACAACCCAATCTTACATCAAAAAATAACACACGCCCACCCTCTATTCTCATAATAGTAACACAACCACCCACCGGGTGGCTTTTTGCAACGGCGGAACCATGGAGAGGTGGCAGCGGCAATTTAACGATGGCAGCCACCACCTCACGCTGGTGGTGGTGTTCTCTTTTAGGTTCCTGATCAAGCAAAATTCAACCCACGTGAGAAGAAAACATACGATTCCAGTCCCAGTCGCAAGTCCCGCACCCACCTCGTTCACTGTGGTTGGCAGCACCAGGTAGTCGGAGGAAGGAACGATAGAAGAACAACCTTCGAATTGCGGCGACGACGGAATCATGGATTGGAACGTAGCACCAACGATCGTGGATGAGGCTCAGATTGTGAGCAACGACAGCAGCCTGAAGAACATATGCTAGGCCCTCATTATCGTCAGCAACGGGGCAACGAAGGAGCTGAACAACATCCCACCATGATGGTAAGATAGTTGGCTGGTAATGGCGGTCGCTCGGGGACGTGACCGGTCGGAGAAACACAAACAAGTGGCGACGGAGGCTGGAAAGCTCACACATGGCGGCTGAGATACTCACAGGGATGGTGACGGCTGCTTTCCAATATTATGGTTAGGGTTAGAAGGAGGCGATGGGTTGCGATGGGTTATATACACGGCTCCTAAACTCCATCCCATAATAACAACAATGACCCTACCTTCTCTATTTTCTTTCAAAGTGGGTCCTAATATTTACCCTTTTAACCCCTCTTACAGATAACCCTTGCAAACTAGGTCCAAATCTTACCAATTAGCTCCTCCTCTACCAAAATCTTCTCATATAAGGTCTAGAATTTACTCTTTAGTCGCCGCTTCCATAAGTCCTTTTCAAAATAAATCTCAAAATTACACTTTAACCCCCGAAACTAACATCCCAGTAATTATTTAATTTTAGACTATAATAACATAAAATAATAAATAAAATTGCTTCTCGAGGCTTCGGGTTAATATTTAATTATTTTATTTCAAACGGGATGTTTACAACTCTCCCCCACTTAAAATTGATTTTGTCCTCAAAATCATTTCTTATCATTCCTTATACGCCCGAGAACTTGAACTTCATGGCCAAAACTACAAGCATACTGCAACCTTTCCAAGGCAAAGACAACCAACCATCACGGGGTTCTGAAATCTAAAGAAAACGAATTCCTTGCCATATGATCACATTTACTCAATCCGTAATCTGAAGTCTCGAGATAGTCTGGTTCCCTGATAGACTTCTCATACCAAATCATTATTGTTGAGCCCAGCCCACTTGTCTCTCATCTAACTATTCAACTTCTGATATTTGGGTTTCCAACATCTAGATACTTCATACACTTGAAGACCCAACTTGTCAATACCT